GGCTTCAGCCTCGGCGCCCGATGCCCATGCGGGCATGGCGGGCCCGAGACAGGGACACCAACGCTGAATGGCCGTGGTATCTTCCACCTCCCCCAAGCGTTGGCTGAGGTGCGCGACCAACTTATCCATGCGGGTCTTGGATCAGGCACGCCGAACTCCGAGCAGTCCTACCTCGTTCTTGGCATGCCCGAGCCTCCCGCCTTTCTTCCACGCGCAGATGCGCGGAGGCAGGATGTCTGCCTTTTGGGCGACGCCCATGGCGTTTTGGGCCCCGTTTCTTACACCGACGGGCCTGGTTGCGACTCAGGTGTTCCCGAGGTGCGGAGGTGTGGAGAAGCAGTTGTGCAGCTTGATCCTTGCTCTTGGCTCCCACTTAGGGCGCGGTTCGGGCCCCTTCCGTACTTGGTGCAGACTATCGGCCGTGCTGAGAGGCACGCGATCAGGGAGGGGCTCGACGCTGTCCCTGACCGCCAGTGCTTCGTCACCGACCTGCTGACGCTCGCCCGGGAAGGAGAGCGTTGGTGCCCCGAGCTCGACCAGGGTCGCGCCAAGCATGCTAGAGCGTGGCGGGACATCTTCGCGGCCAGCCGCAGGCGCACTCTGTGGGGCCCTCCCAAGTTCCGATGGGCGCCAGCGCACAGGTCCTTGGAGGAGCTTGTGGGCACAGAGCCGCAGGAGCTGCGTGACTGGTTAGGCAACGGCTGGGCAGACTATTTCGCGCGCTGCGGTGCTGCCTCTCGCGCGCTGGCTGGGTCGGTAGCCGAGGCGGTGACAGCTGCGCCGAAACAGCACCGCAAGGTCCTGCAGTTCATTTCGTGGGCGGCACTGCAGGCGGTGGTTCGCAAACAATGGGGATGCGACGTGGAGGTCCTCAGGCCACCTTGCGAGCAGGCCGGGCCCATTGTGGTGGCACGCAGTACGGACCATGTCCTTGCTCACTGCGCCAGCCTCGGGCGGCGCCGATGCGCCCAATGCGGAGTCACGGCCACAGCGGGCTCCTCCTTCGAGTCGCTGTAAACTGGCTCCCATCGTATATGTCGCCCTTCGCGCGTCGCCACTGCTCTCGACGCCGAGCACTTCCGCGCCTTCGGCGAGGGCTGGGTTCTCTGCGGCGACCAGGAGGCTGGCGTGGCCCTGGGCGCGGCCGTTGCGCTCGAAAGAAGCTCACAGCCCTCGACCCCGCAGCCTTGTTGTCACCTGCCCTGGCCGAGGAGGTCGGGGGCGCCTTCACCGCGCTCGGGCGCGATGCGTTCAGGGGCAACAGTGTTTACTGTTGCAGACGCTGCGGGCCTCACTATGCTGCGGGGGGTGTCCGTGCAGTGCGGAAGCTTGGCTTGAGGTGCGACGGGCTCTCGCCCAAGGAGTCCACGCGCCGCAACCAGCAAGATGCGATCAGGCGCGTCGAGAAGGGCCTGGCGCCTCGTGCCCGACGTGCCCCAGCAGCGCCGCTCCCGCAGGGTGGCTCTCCTTGCAGCCACGCGGCGCGATGATCGACCATGTCGTGATTCGCTGCCGTTCCGTGTTCGGCTGGTGTCACGGCGTCTTCTTCGGCGGCGACACCATCTTCGCCGGCGGCAAGTTGGCCTGCGCCCACGGCCTTGAGGGCGACTTCTCTCAGCTGCCCTCCTTCTACATTGCCCCTTGCTCTTACGGCGCCGTGCCGCGAGTAGGCGGCGCCAGGGGGCAGTCCGTCGCGCGCCCGCGTGCGCGGCGGTAGGCCTTCCTGAGACGCTGCGCTCCTCCTCCTCCTCATCATCATCAGTCACTTTCTCCTGCATCTTCTCCCTCATCCTATTCCTCTTCCTCCTCCTCCTCCCCCTCCTCCTCCTCCCCCTCCTCCTCCTCTTCCCCCCCTCTTCCTTCTCCTCCTCCTCCTCCTTTTCCTTCGCCGCGCACGCGCGCCGCGCATCCCCCCCCGCCCGTCGCCCCCAGGACACATCCCGCACGCGCGCCGTACTTCCCGCCCGCCCGTCGCCCCAATTATACATCCCGCACGCACGCCGCGCATCCTCCCCGCCCGCCGCCCCCAGGACACAGGCCGCACGCACGCCGTGCATCCCGCCCCCGCCTGTCGCCCCCGTGACGCAGCCCGCGCGCATGCCGTGCATTCCCCCTCCCGCCGCTCCCACACCGCAGCCCTGCACTCACGCGCGTACGCGCGCGCAGCCGCTCACACAAGCACGTGCGCAGGCACGCGTACATACACGCACGCTCGCACCAGAGTAACCACAGCAATCGCAACCACCAAGCTCGAAAACGCAACCACTAATCCCGCTCTCCGCGCGCGATGCGAGCTCTGGCGAACTTTTTGTGGGGAGGGCGCCTGGGGCCCCCTCCCCCCCGCGCGATCCTCGGCGAATCGTCTGTGTGTGTGGGGGGGGGGGGCTCGTGCGGCAGCAGAAGCAGCAGCGGGAGGATTGGGAGGAGGAACAGAGGCCGATGACGTCGAAGAGGGGAAGGAGAAGGAGGAATGAAAGGAGGGTGGGAAGGATTGGGAAGAAACCAGTTCAGCGCGGCAGACCAGCACAGCAGACCAGCGCGGCACGCCAGCGCAGATTTCTTTGGCGTGCTCAACCAGACGTTATCTGACAAGCCTTGTGGACAAAGCGGCGCTTCCCGTTCTTGTCTTGTCTGGTTCCCCTCAAATGGGCGTTTCGTCGGAGGCATCTTCGGAAAATGGGACCTTCGAAAAAAACGAGATGTTGGAATCGTGTGTTTGAGACGCATTTCGTTAAACATTGAGGCTCGCGCTCGAGACATCCTCATGTCAGCGAGGTGTTGATATCGTATAATTGAGACGCCTTTCGTTATACATGATGCTCGTGCCCGAGGCATATTCGAAACATGAACTAGTGAGCTCGCTCGCGGAATCCAGCGATCGTTGGAAATTGCCACTTCGCTTGACATCATATTCAAACCAGTTGTTGGAGCAGTTGCCCTACAACGCTGTTTGTTAACATCGAGGCCTTCGCTGGGTACATCCTCAAACAACGACTTGTACGCAGCATCTGCTTGGCTCTGGGTCCCCAGGGCAGCCCAAAAGGACCCCAACGCGGCCCAAGGTGTACCCAACACTGCCCAATACGTGTTCAAGATGGCCTCCTAAGACGGCCAAGTGCTGTTCATCGCTTTTGTCCCTGCTGGCGTGCACATCGCAACGTGTGCACTACACATCAGGCGCAGTGAATACCATAAGTAAGTGATACTGGCGCACGCAGCGCACAAACCAGATGAATGCGGTAATCCGTCGGACACCCGTTCCCACCGGTACGCGTCCCGCACGCGCGCGTTATGATGCGCAAGAATGTTCATGCGCATTGTCACCGTCGCCGTTCACATCGCAACGCGCGCAACACACAGCAGACACGACGACCCCCACCGCATGCGAATGCCAGAACGCCAGCACACACCACGCACAGACCAGATGCATACGGTGATCGGACACCCCTCCCCTCCGGTACGCGCCCCGCGTTCGCGCCGCACGCCAGCTACGAATGCCAATCATCGGGCTTTTGACGGGAAGCGCCTTGTCGGAACGAGAGCGACCAGAGTTTGTTAGGCTATGCTGACTAAGGGGTGAAAAGGAACACACTCGCGAGGGACAACTCGCTCGCGATCGCACAAGGTAATAAAGAACTCGCGAGGGGCAACTGGCTCGCGATCGCAAAAAGGTACTTTGCTTGGCGGATTCCCAATCAAAATGGGCGTTTCGCTCGAGACATCCACTGAGATGTTGAAATCGTATGCTTGAGACGCCGTTCGTTAAACACGAGGCTTTCGTTCAAGACAAATTGAAACATGTGCTACTGCGTTCGCTCGAAAAATCTAGCGAATCTTTCGGCCATGCGAGTCAACACTTCAGCGGGTTCAAACGGCCACGCGGGTTAAAACGTCACGCAGCTCAGGTGATCATCATCATCAACATCACCGTCATTTTCATCACCAACACCATCGTCAGCATTAGCAACATCATCGTCAGCATCATCATCATCATCATCATCATAATCATCGTCACCACTATAGACATCTCCAGCGTCATCGCCATCGTTGCCACGATTGACTGCTTCGCGACGCAATACACGACGCATGCACCACACAGAACGCATGACACACCCCCAGCACGCAAATGGCCAAATAGAGGCGTACACCACGCACAGACCATACTCATACCGTGCACCCCCCCCGCCCGCCCCTCCCAGAACACATCCCGCACGCCCACCGTACACCCCCCCCGCCCGTCGCCCCCAGACAGCTCCCCGCACGCCCCCTGTACTTTCCCTCGCCCGTCCCCCCCAAAGCACACCCCACACGCACGCCGTACACACCCCTGCCCCGCCCGCACAGCACACACCCTGCACGCACAACCGCACACACGCGCACAGCCGCACACAGGCACACACAGCCACACAAGCACACAGGCACACGCACACACGCACACACACACAACCACACACACACATACACAATCACACACGCACGCACGCACGCACGCACGCACGCACGCACGCACGCACGCACACACACACACACACACACACACACACACACACGCGTGCACACGCACACACGCACGCACACACACACACACACGCACACACACACACACACACACGCGTGCACACGCCACGCGCAACACTTCACCAAAGCAAACGCAGACAACCACTAAACGTAAGCTGCCAATGACAACCATCTGGGCATGCAGGGGATCCCAGCGATTGCACCCCATGCGTGCACATGGGTGTTGGGTGCAACTCCATGCGCGCGTGCGCACGCAAGCTCAGAGAAGCGGCGCTTCCCGTTCTTGCCAGGAAAGGTTCCAGGGGTCGGTGAGCCGAGCCAGACCCCCAGGGTAAGTTTGAGGTTTGCTTGCGATGGGCGTCCGAAACTTGGTTTCTTGCAATTCCATGCTCCGTGAGAGACTTCTAGGTCTTTGAAATATATGTTTGTCTGAAGGTCGTTCTGTGTCCAACATGGTGTGTCCCTCCTGTCCGCGGTCATGCTGGCCCAAGTTCGGAAGGAAATTTTCGGCAACGCTTCATATCTAAGTCCTTACAAGACCCCCTGCCAGTGCGATGGCACCCATCGGTAACCAGACTGCAGCGGACTGTGACAAGCTACACGGCAAGCGCCATCTCACCGAGGCCCTCGCCTGGGCGGACATGGAAGACGACGAGCCAACCCTTCTGCTGCTGGCCGATCTCGTTCCGGCGACCTGTCTTGCACGCAGCGACCTCCTTCAGCCGTGCTCGGCCCCGGAGGTCTGCAAGCCGCTGTCGCCGATAGCCACATCTGGCACGCAGGCGATCTCATTGGTGCTGACGCGCGGAGCACGGGACAGCGTCCCTCCTCCAGCAGCTGCGGGCGTCCGCACGCCACTCTCCGCAAAGTCGAGACCGTTCATCTCCAGGCACGGTGTGGCACCATCTCTCGTGAGCCAGCGGGCGCATTCGCCTGCTGGCAAGGCTGATCTCGGAGAGGGCGGTACGCAGACGGGCATGGAAACGGAGACTCGCACCACGGTGATGCTGCGCGGCCTTCCCAGCACCTTCAGTCGCAAGATGCTGGTCGGTTTGCTGCACGCCCACGGCTACTCGGGGCAGTTTGACTTCGTGTACCTTCCAGTGCATTTCGAGACCTTCGATACCCAAGGGTATGCGTTCGTAAACCTGACACAGCCAGCGGCCGCCGAGCGCTTCAGGGCATTCTTCGAGGATTTCAACGGGCACCCCTTCTCGGCCTTGAGGCCCAGCGGCACGTCCTGGAGCCGGCTGCAAGGGCTCGAGGCAATGGAATCAGCAACAATGGCATAAGCATACATGCTCGGAGCTCAGCGCGGGGCTTCGAGAGTTTGTGCTTATGTAGCTGTTGTTCTTCCTTAGGCAAACGTCGAGAAGTACCGGAGCAGCTACGTCATGTGCGAGCACGTGCCCGAGGAGTGCCGGCCGCTGCTCTTCCGCGAGGGGTTGCCGCGCCCCTTCCCGGAGCCCGCCGTGAAGCGCAAGGGGCGCGCGAATTTCCGCTGGCGGCGCAGCGTCGCTTGATGCAGGATCCGACGAAGGCAAGACACCATGAAGAAAATCCCGGACCTCCGACAAAATGACTTCTTCAATATGTGTGTCCCGTCTTCGGGCCCCAGGACCATCAAAAAACGGGTCCAGGGCGAAAAGCTAGCTTTGGGTCGGGAGTCGCGATTTCTGGGGCCGCGGATTGAAAAAAAACATATCGGCGGAGTCAGGGAATGAATGTTCTAGGGTCCGCGCGGATCTCGTGGACATGCGCTGAACCACCCAGGCGGCGCCGATCCAATTAATTTCCGGCCCTTTTCGAGAGTTTACGTGTTTGCATGCATTTGTTCTTCGAAGGGCGCGCGGGCGTGATCCGGGTTTGCGGGCAGTTCTCGATGGCGTGCCAGAAATCAGGCTGAAAGGTTTGGTGACAGGTGCGCTTGCTCTGACCCTTCCATCTAGGCGAAAGTGTGTATTCCACGGCGGTGAGGCTTCTGATGGCACGGTCTACAAACACGTCCTCGAAGCTTTGAAGCCAGAGGTGCATTGGATATGGTGTCAGGGCCGTTGCAGGATTGATGCCCCCCGCCCTCCCTCTCCTTGCATTTCCCATCATTTCCCTCTTTCTCTATATCCAGTCTACGACGTCACACTCGGAAGATGTGTTCATCAGTAACACTCTCAGAGCGTGTGTGCATGTGAACGCTCCTGTGCGTGGGAATGGGTTTCCCCGTGCAAGAGTTCATTCTAGCACTGACTATGCGAATTGTGTTGGTGTTGGTCCCGTGGTTGCGCGTCAAATGATGTTGCCCATCCAGCCGACGCAGGGTGCGGTTCATTGCCACTGTGTTTCAATTGTAGGGGTGCATGTTGCTCGTCTTTCAGGAGCACCTTTCGCATCGTTCGAAGTGGAGTATTGGCCCCGACGATGGATGCGAAATGTAACCATTATCCAGAGCCCCTTCTGCGCCATCGACCAATGTAGCTGCAGTTCGTCGAGGAGTGCTTGGCTCCAGCGAGGCTGAGACTACAGAAACTGCCCGCCGAGTCTCTGCCACTCTGGGGTAACCTAAAGCAGCCAGCACGATGGCGCCCCCTCTCGTTCTCCCTCGTTCTCTCGCTCTCTCTCTCTCTATCTCTATCTCTATTCCCCTCTCCTTCTCTCTCCCTCTGTCTTGCATGTACATACATTGGCGCCCACTGCTTAGACACATACAGATACGCTCATACATAGTTACATGGAGAAAGTGGGACACTGCGACACCAGCGTACACTCGAGCAAATGAACTCGCGCCATGCCGCCCCGGTGCCCCTCTGACTGATTCGTGGCTTGACGTCAGTATGGTTAGACTGTTTTGTGGGTCCTCCTCCGTGTCCTCAACCAGCGGCTTCCTCCTTTGTCCTCGTCCTCCTCCGAGTGCATCCTCCTCATTCTCCTGCAGCTTCTTCTGCCTCCTGATCTTCCGCGTCTGATTTCCTCCTCTCGCGTCTGCGGGGTAGGGGGCTGATGGGTGGCACTCGCAGAGCGCGGTTCTATCGACCCCCCCCCGTCTGCCGGGTCACAGCCTGTTTGACACAAGCTACACAAACAATGAATTGGGGTCCAATGTTTGGCAATCTGTCCTATCTGAGCCACGCTGGCCTCAAGCTGGCCAGCCTCCAGCATCAGGGGCCCTAGCCTCCACGCAGCGGCCGAGAAGCATATATGCCTTCTCGTGGTTTTATGCCCCCTCCTCTTCCCCTTTGCCCCCTTCCGTGCCCCCGCCCTCGTCATCCTCGAAAGGCGTCCTGAGCGACCAACCAGGGACATCCAGCGGGGGTTGGCCGGGGTGGTTCGGGAGGGGAATGGAGGTTGGCCGGGCTCAACTTCCATCCTTGCCCCTTCCACCCGAGGGTGTTGACTTCGATTCTCCTCCGTTCTCCTGTTCCACCCTCATCTCGCTGGCCCAGAGATTGACACCAACACCAATATCGGCGGTGTGCATCTACCGAGAGAAGCAGATCCCGATCTCGGTGATGGTGGTAATACTCTGGCTTCCAAGGTGGACGAAACATTGCCAGCAACACCGAAATCTAGGATCGTCTTCCCCATGTGGAGGCAACCCCCTGTGTTGGTGTTGGTGCCCATTTCTAGGCCTCCAATCATCGTATTCCTCCTTCTCCTCCTCCTCCTCTTCCCTTCATCGGTGCTATCTTCGTGCTCCTCCCACCGTCCCTCCTCTTCTGCCAGGGCCCGCGGGAGGCTCCGAGAGGGTGCCAGGAGAGCCCCACGAGGGCCCCAGGAGAGTCCGGGCGGGCCCCAAAACAAGGGTTACAAGCAGGCCCTGGGGGAAAACACACACAGACACAAAACACACACACACACACACAAAAAAAAAACACAACACACACACACACACACACACACAAAAAAACACACACACATACACACACCAAAACCACACACACTGTGGGAAACAAGCACACACACACACTGTTGGAAAAACACACACACACTGTGGGACAATATAAACACTCACAAACACACACACACACACACAAAACACACACACACACACACAAAACACACAGTGTGTGTGTGGGAAAAAACACACGGGGCCGCCGTGTTTTTTTCCCCACTGGGACGCCAGGCAGGCCCTGCGGGAACCCAAGACAGCCCGCACACCTGGCTCCGCACAGGTGTTCCGAAGCGTTTCGGTCGTGGTCAGGGGATTCCAGCCTTTCCCCTGTCCATCCCTGCCTATTGCCAGACGCTTCGCGTATCCCCACCAGCCCGTCCAAGAACAGTCACCAGGCGAGTTGCCCTGATCAGCGATGTGTCGCGGCACGCTGCGCCGCAGGGAGCCGCATCCGTCGTCGCGGATTCCAGGAAGGAGGCGGAGGAGGAAGAGAAGTAGGAGAAAAGAAGGAAGGAGGATGAAGAGAGACATGATGAATCTGAGCAGGAGGAGTAGGAGGAAGGTGGGCAGGAATAAGTGGAAACGTGTTAATTAGAGCATTTTTTTAAAATAAAAAAAACAAAAAAAACAAGGTAGGAAGAGGGAGGAGGAACTTGAGGGAGGTAGGAGGAGGCACGGGGAGCCAGGAGGGGCAGTGGGCGCACCAGTGATCAGCGCGGATCACCGGTGCGCCGTGCGCACTGGCAAGCAAGGATGCAGGAAGAGGTGGGGCGAGGTAGGAGCAGTAGGGGGCGGTAGGGGGACATATGAGGAGGCAGGAGCGGGCAGGACGAGGCAGTTGCAGAGACGAGGCCCAGGCAAGTTGCGTGAATCAGGGACGTGCAGCAGCATGTAGCGCAACCGAAGAGGGGGACAGCCATTACATTGGAAAGGAGAGCAGGACGCAGGAGGAAACGGAAGATGCACAGGAGTGGGGAGGGAGGAGAGGGAGGACCAGGCAGCACACATTGAAGCACACAAGGGTTTTGAAGGATTTGGGCCTCATGGAGGCCTCCTTGGAGAGATCGAAGGACACTTTGGGCCGTCCTGGGTTAGTCTTGAGGTCTCTTGGAGGCATATCTTGGGATATCTACAGCGATCTTGGAGGCCTTCTTGGGCTCCCTGCGGCCCGGTTTGAGCCATCTTGGGCCGTATTGGGCGCTTGAACGGCACGCGGCCACCCGTGTCCAGAACCATGGGGGAGGGGGTATGAGGAGGGGAAACCCCGTCTCCGAGGGGGAATATGGGAGTTGGAAGCACGGACTCGTTAAACCACTCACGCCCTAAAAGGCTGGCGGGATTCCCCTCTCCTTCCGTCCCTCTTCTGTGGCGTGCGCCCCCCCCCCCCCCCCACTCCTATTTAACCCTCCCCTCCCTCTCTCTCTCCAGGCTCCCCGCGCGGCCTAGTGAAAACCTCGGGGAGAAAGTCATCTCGGCCCGAACACCTCCGCGAAAATGTTGTGGATTTTTTCCTGGGCGCGCGTGTCGAACAAACGCGCCCAACAATTCGGAGGGCACCCGGAACTACGATCACGCGGTGTTCGGGGAGGTTTCCAGGGCTGTTTCGGACGGAAAATCGCCAGAACTCATTGGGGAATCGGGGGCATTATTCCCAGGCGGCCGTGGGAAAATTCCACCAGCCCTTGAGAGCGTGAGTGGTCCCCTTCCCCTTTTGGGAAGGGGATCCCCCTGCCCCTCCCCTCTCCCGCTGGGTCTGAACGAGGGGTGGCGCGTGTCGTCGGAGCGTCCAGTATGGCCCAAGATGGCTCAAGGGTGCCGCAGGGAGCCCAAGAAGGCCTCCAAGATAGCTGTAGATATTTCGAGAGTGTTCAATATGGCTTTTAACATGCCTCCAAGAGCCCTCCAGACTACCCCAGGACGGCCCCAAGTGACGGAGGCCTCCAAGAGGCCCAACTCCTTCAAAACCATTGTGTGCTTCAATGTGTTCTGCCTTCTCGCCTTTTCGCTTCTGGTGGGCTCTTGAGGCCTCAAAATGGTTCCGATCTGGCCAAAGAGGGCCTCAAGGCCTCCAAGAGGGGCCCAAGAGACCCACAAGAGGGCTCCAAGAGAGCCCCCAGAGTACCCAAAAGGGCTCCAACATGTCCCTACGATGGCCCTGAGATCACCCCAACGGGGCGCCCAGCAGTTAGGCACCCAGAGTGGAAGGCTCGTAGAGGCCTCGAGGCCTCGATGATTGACTCCTGTCGTCGTCGTGTCCGCCTTCCTCTCCCATCCTTCCTCTTCCTGCTCCTCGTCCTCCTCCTCCTCTCCCCCTTCCTCCGTTTCCTCCTCCTTCCTCTCCTCCCTCCCCGTTGCTGTAACTCTTATGTTTCCTCCTGCTTTCTCTTCTCCTTTCTAATGTAATGGTTGTTCCCCTCTTTGTTGCGTTGCGTGTTGCTACACTTCCCTTACTAACGCAACTTGCCTGGGCATCGTGTCTGCAACTGCCTCATCCTGCCTGTTCCTGCCTCCTCATGTGTCCTCCTACCTCCTCCTACTATTCCTACCTCTTCCCACCTCTCCCCACATCCTCGCTTGCCAGGGCGCACGGCGCACGGGTGATCCGCGCTGATCACGTGTATCACCGGTGCGCCTGCTGCCTCCCCCTGGCTCTGCGTACCTCTTCCTACATCCCTCAAGCTCCTCTTCCCCCTTCCGACCTCTACATCCCTCAAGCTCCTCTTCCCCCTTTCCGACCTCTTCATGCTCTTGCGCATTTTCTTCTCCTTCTGCCCACGTCCCTCCTTCTCTTCACCCTTTTGCTCAGGTTCCTCTTCATCATCCTCCCTCTTCTCCCCTACTCCGCGAAGACGAATGCGGCTCACTACTGCGCCGCATCCTGCTTCTACGCATCCCCGATCATGGCAACTCGCCTGGCGATTGTTTCTGGATGGGCTGGCTGGGATACGCGAAGCGTTAACTGTGTTTGTTTGTCGGCGGCCGGGCGTTTCTATCGAGGTTTCGCGAGCTCGTATGGTCCAAAAGAGTACACGTTCCCTCGGCAAGACATTTTCGGCAACGCTTCTGAATTCTTACAGTGCCCCCTGCCAGTGCGATGGCACCCATCGGTAACCAGACTGCGGCGGACTGTGACAAGCTACACGGCAAGCGCCATCTCACCGAGGCCCTCGCCTGGGCGGACATGGAAGACGACGAGCCAACCCTTCTGCTGCTGGCCGATCTCGTTCCGGCGACCTGTCTTGCACGCAGCGACCTCCTTCAGCCGTGCTCGGCCCCGGAGGTCTGCAAGCCGCTGTCGCCGATAGCCACATCTGGCACGCAGGCGATCTCATTGGTGCTGACGCGCGGAGCACGGGACAGCGTCCCTCCTCCAGCAGCTGCGGGCGTCCGCACGCCACTCTCCGCAAAGTCGAGACCGTTCATCTCCAGGCACGGCGTGGCACCATCTCTCGTGAGCCAGAGGGCGCATTCGCCTGCTGGCAAGGCTGATCTCGGAGAGGGCGGTACGCAGACGGGCATGGAAACGGAGACTCACACCACGGTGATGCTGCGCGGCCTTCCCAGCACCTTCAGTCGCAAGATGCTGGTCGGTTTGCTGCACGCCCACGGCTACTCGGGGCAGTTTGACTTCGTGTACCTTCCAGTGCATTTCGAGACCTTCGATACCCAAGGGTTTGCGTTCGTAAACCTGACACAGCCGGCGGCCGCGGAGCGCTTCAGGGCATTCTTCGAGGATTTCAACGGGCACCCCTTCTCGGCCTTGAGGCCCAGCGGCACGTCCTGGAGCCAGCTGCAAGGGCTCGAGGCAATGGAATCAGCAACAATGGCATAAGCATACATGCTCGGAGCTCAGCGCGGGGCTTCGAGAGTTTGTGCTTATGCAGCTGTTTTTCTTCCTTCCCCGACCTTCCATTCTCCAACACTTTTGGTAGAAAGTCTACTTTTTCCACATTCTTCTAAATTTATTCGGAATCACGCGTTCGAGCATGATGTGCAAAATAGCGCAAAAATCTTTGA